TGTACGCGAAATTTATCAACTCCAATGACAAGTCGAGTAAGCCATCATCAAGCAACAATTTTACATCAACTCGAAGGCAATTAAAAACACAACTTTTTAATTCAGGTATTTATACTTTTTTTCTCATACGTATGCCTTTTTAATACTCGCCTATGTGTTTTAAATTTATGAATGATATATACAGTGAACTGAATATATAATAGTTTATATACAAGATTTTAATACTACCGCATGTTCCTATTTTCTATTGTCACTGTATTGGGCCTATAATTGGCCCCATTAGCTATACCCATCATAGAACACATGGCGGTATTTGCTTTCCTAGTCCTTGCTACCATTTCATCTCGAATATTTTTCTTGTTTTATCTCTTGAATTATACTTTTATATGATTATTTTAAATTATATAGCCCCCCCCCCCCTATTGAGGGGTCCCTTCATAATCCCCTTAGGATATAAAAATCTAGGGCCCCCTTGGGTGTGATTTTTTGAAGTTACCCCATGGATATATTTAAACCCCCTTTAGGATATCATATTTGCCCCCTTGGATATCGTTATGGAGTATGGAGCCGTCGTCGTTGGAGTATAAAGATGGAAACCAGTGATTGTTGAGAAGAATTACTGAGCTACATTCCCATTCTGAGTGCTCATGTGGTGAAAGAGGCAAGCAAAGAGTTTCTGAAGAAAGTAAAACCATCCACATCTGATCAAGATCCAACGAAAAAAGCCCCAACAATTGCCAGTCTACCTGCTACCTCATACCACAAGATTTTAGATTACAGTATATATACAACCTTTTCAGGCTTCTGATAATGTCATTTGGCCTGGGACCCTTGATCTCATGAATCGTGAGCCAATCAGCTTGTATAATTTACTAATGAAAGCGAGGCTCCAAGACCAAAAAGTATGTGTGGCATAATTATCGAAAGGGTGTATTGTCAGAACTACTGAGTACTTCGATAAAAAAAACAGTGCATAATACTTGCTCTGAAAAACAGTAAACAGTTTAAATTGTTTATTTGTACATTCGACTAATAAGTAAGTTGTCTTTCTGGAATGATCTCTCTTGAAGATGACTACAGCTTATTAGTCAAAACATACAAATAAACAATTTTGAGGATGTTTTTAAAATACTTCCAGAGAAATTATTGTGTTGTATATAATTATATGGGTTTGTGTAAAAAAAAACTATGGGTGAAATTTCATATAAGGATCCCAAATGATGTCACAGAGGGTTGTGTATGGGCTGGGTGGGAGTAAGGGTTATATTTTGGGATTCTTATATAAAACTTCATCTACAATTATGCCTCCACAAGCAAATATTTATGGATAAAGAGAGCAGATATATACAAATTCTATTTGTGAATGTACATATTTTATTTGTGCTATATTCAATAATTGATAAAATGGACAATTGTGCAATTATGTCCATATCATAGAAACAAAATAGCCATAAAGCCCCATTTACATGAGCAAATTTTATTTGACAAATTTCATATGTCAAAGATATTTTGCTCGTGTAGATGATAAATTTGTGACAAATTTATTGTGACAAATGCATTTGAACAAAAGCCAGCATGCTAGCTTTTGATCAAATGAAATTTGTCAAATAAAATTTGCTTGTGTAAACGGGGCTTAATGTTCTACTATAAAACCCTGACTGCCCACTCCATTGACCATCTAGGTCAAGGCATATCTCTATATCTGGTATAATGTCCATCAGGTGAAGGATGTTTTTCGAATTTTCCACACACGGCATGCATGGCTATGTATCTACTAACACACTGTCAATATGCTGCATGCCTCATCACTCTATTGTCATATGTTTGTGTAAACACACAGGTATCTCCCAAAACTTTATGAAGGTGGCCAATTTATCTGCGTCCAAGCAAATGTTTTGGAATGTGCAAGTGTTCTACTCTTGTATTTCTTTGTAGCACACCCTCTTTCTGTCTGTTGGCATCTCTCTGCAATATCCACATACACAGAATGGTGCATTTGACTGTTCGAATTATTACACTGAATCATGCCGTAGGTGCTCCACCAAATCTTTTAAAACTATTAATGCTCTGGACTTAAAACCCTCCTTTGCTACTTTGACAAGGATCTGGTTATCCAAACCATCAATTTTCTCCTAGGTAACAAAGACAACTAACAGTTACGATATATTTATATATAAAGGCACTTGAGTTCACACATACAAAAATTCTGTACCAATATTTCTAGACCTTGTTTGCTATGGTACGACCCCTTTGAATCATTGTTTATTCATAAAGATTAAAGCATCATACATGATATAGCGTATGCATTCATCACTGTATAAATATGCAGCTTGCTCATATCAAAATCAAATCAAATACAAATATTCAAAATCAGAGAAACTCATTGATAAATTTGATATTTCAACTCAAATACTGTACATACCTTTTATATATTTTTACATGGTTTACTCCTCGTACCACTAGTGCACGCGCTTCCTCTGCAATGACAGCCAGTCACCTTTCCATTCGTAGAGGTCTTTAACTTGCGCATACATCGACGATTTACAGCCACAGTAAAGTATCCTCGGTTGAGCGACCATATGTGTAAACAGTGTTTAGTGTTACATAATTATCAATTGAGCCGAATTTTACAGCAATTTGGATACTTTTCTTTTTTACATTAATATCCAGAAATACAGCCTTACATCGCTAGACTCATCTAAATCAGATGTTTCGTCTTCAGGCGATGAACTCATGGCGAAATAGCTTCTTTCGTTTTGTAGATTTAAAGAGCCAAACTCTTCGTTTGCCGCCATAGTAATAGAATATTAAGTTGCGTGTAACCTGAGCCGCTTGTCATATCAATCAATCAACAGCGGTATTCTCGGTCACGTGGGGTGCTGCATTCTGCCTTTAATATCCTCACTAAATGCAATTAAATGTATCGGTTTCCAAAAGAGGTGTTTATTCAGACTAAATGCGATTAAATGTATTTTTTTATTTAACCACCTTTACTCAGCTTATTAAAGGTGTAAACACACATTTAATATCTTTAGTATTTTTGCTAAAGCTGATTAATGACACGCTTTTCGTCCTGTGTTAAAGCAGTAATAAATTCTCCAAGCGCTGGGGCGCCATCTAGTCGTTGAACCACGGTTACTACTAAAAAGTGATACAGCGATACAACGATATAGCGATACAGGAACCGGAACCAGGAACCGTGCATAATTTATGCAAATCAGAGCATTTTGCACCACAGGGGATATACATAATAATAATCTACAGGGGGGGGGGGATTCAATGATAGTATAAAATATTATATACAACTAACAAGGCATTTTAATTTTTAAGCAAAACAAAGAATGAACATCGTTGTAGCACTTTTGCCTGTTTTGATATGTCTGCATGACACATTGACACATTTTATTTAGCCGCCGCAATTGATTATGAAATGCCAGCAGACAGAGAATGAAACGATGGCACGCATAGCAGATTGCGCTGAATTCACTAGCAATTAGAGTGTGGTGTATGATGCAATCCAACCGATTGAATGTGCTATATACGCTGCCGCCGGAATACGCGAATATTGCGAATATGCTGCATACTAAAAATATCCGCTTGACTAGCAACGATCACAAACATGAATGAAGTTATGAAGGTAACTTCAATGTCAAAAATGCATTTAATAATGAAAAATTGAAATGTCTGATTGAAATTCAGCGTCGAAATTCACTTAGTCGTGTCTCTTACCCCATATAATATAGTACTATCAAGTACCGGAGTACGTATATATGTTTTCGACGCTGAATTTCAATCAGACAAATCAATTTTTCATTATTAAAGGACATTGGCAACGAAAATTTTTATTGGCTATTTCAATCCTACTTGACAACCTAACTATGAAAATATTATCATTTCCTTCTCGAACATTTTACTCTAGGAGTAAAATGCATGCAAATGCATTGCCTTGTTTAATACACTCGAATTACTGCGTTTATTTAACACGGACTAGGACTGATATACTATCAGAAATAGTGTTACAAATAAGGAACATACTTGGTAAAACGTTTCTGCCCTTCGTTTAGGCTCAAAGTGCACTACGCGTGGTAATACTCGGTATTGTTTTATAGTCATGAAATTGTGTTTACCCATCTAATGACGTCAGATAATGTATGCTGTGGCACAAGTGTTTATTTTCAAAATGGCGGACTACTGTTGAACTTTTTATTACATTTTCTCAACAACTAAATGCGACAAACCGGCCAAAATATAAAATTAAGTATTCCGTAAGCATACCTAATAGATATAAGCAATAAGAATTTTGGTTGCCAATGTCCTTTAAATGTATTTTTTACATTGGAGTTACTATACCTTCATATAAAATTCATTTAATTATGTTTGTGATTGATGTTCAAGCGGATATATTTCGGCATGCAGCATATTTATTTTATTTATTTATATTCGCAATATTCGCAGTGTATATAGCATATTCAATGTTGGGTTGCATCATACACTACACTACACTCTAATTACTTAATTTAGCACACAATTGCTGCTGAATCCAACGCAATCTGCTTTGCGTGCCGTGGTTTCCTTCTCTGTCTGCTGGGATTTCATAATCAAGTGCGGCGGCCAGTAAATAAACTAAGTGCGTCACATGCAGTCATATCAAAACAGACAAGAAGAATGGCCGCGCAATTACGAAACATGTGGTGCTAAAACGATATTCATTCTTTGTTTTGTTTAAAAATCAAAATGCCTTGCATATAATATTGTATATTATCATTGAATTGCGCCCCCATCCTTGTAAATTATTATTATGTATATCTCCTGTGGTGCAAAATGCTCTAATTTGCATAAATTATGCACGGTTCCAGGTTCCGGTTCCAGGTTCCGGATCCTGTATCGTTGTATCGCTGTATCGCTTTTTAGTAGTAAGCCGTTGAACTATCAGTGATATCAAGAGCATTCTTGCGCATTATTTGTTTCTGATGTTCTTCAAATTCATTCAGTGTTAAATTTTAAATTTGTTCATTCGTTAAGCCATCAAACAGTTTTTGTCTTTCCCACTCTGTTGTGCCACCATCAACAAGTGCATCGCCAATTGCTGAATTAGTTCGCTCGGTCTCGTTCATGTTGCTGTCATTTCTTGATCTGTGAACCTTAATACGATAGTCAGATTTCCAAATTCTTGCTATTTCTGCGTCCATAAATCTTACCTCAAAATTGGATACCCCACTCCTAGCCCTGCGTCTGTTAGGTGAGCCCACATAGGTTTTACATCATATGGAAGACCAAACACGCGAAGTTGCTCTAATTAAAATGTTCGTACATGAAGAAGTGCATTCCTGATATTTATCCCAAAGTTGGTCCAAGTTTCTATTTGCTAGCAAAGTTTGCAACTCAGCAAGCTTGACTATAAGAGAGTTAAGATCTAAAGCCTTTAGTGAGTTTCTTTCAAGCAATGTTGCAGTTTCTTCTGTTTCCCAAGTGTCACAGATTTCAGTTAAAGCATCGTGAAGCTTCAAGCGTCTCTGCTGCTCATATGCAAGATGCGGACATTGAATGGTACGAGACACCTTTAACATCATCTTTTTCAGTCATATCCATGCACAAATAGAAACAAATTATCATGTATATGTGATGCAGCACTTCGCATTGCTTTTGTATACATACGACCGCTTGTACGAATATTATCTGAAATTACTTCAAATTCGTCTGGTAGATTGTGACGCATTTTCATTGTCTCATTGGCCCATGTGGTTCCAGACGAATCTATGTATGCTTTTGGACGGACGTAAACAATGTGACGGTCACCAATTGATTTTATCTTTTCTTTTCCATCCATAGTTACCGCTTCGCATTTAAGTATTCGCTGAGTCGACGGTGTTTGATAAACCATTCTAATTGGCCACGAAAGTCATACTTGGGAAGCTTTCGAATTCTATTTTCAGCAGTAGGAGTAAGAATCCTTGTATTTCGTACACTTGTAAACCCTTCAGACGTGCCCGGCCTCAAATAGGCCTTATCGTCAATCGACCTCATGAATGTGAAATGTCTACTAATTTTGTTTTTATCTGAGAAGAAGAAGCGCTTAACATTCAGAACGTGGGCTCGCTGGTGGTGTGTATTCTCATTATGATTATCCTCACTCTTATATGGCTTTTTAGTGCAAAATAGCCCTTTTCCGGTGTGGCGCTTTGCCTGCTGGCTAGCTATGCTTGTTTCTTGGTCTTGAAAGATTGGAAACTGTTACTGCAGAACGTGCAAGAGGTTTGCCTTGTTCCTGAAGTTTATAATTAGCAAGGTAAAGCAGATCTTTAACTTTCACCCTATATACGGCCAGTATATAGAACTGTGTCATGCCGTCTGCCGTGACTAGCTGCTTTTTCTTCTATATATTGAGCAATAAAGCTTTCACATTCATCATCTATAAGTCTTGGACGTCCAGTTGATGCTTAACGTCGATTTGCTTCTGCAAGCTGTCCTGTAAGCCTAACAACCATTTGATTGTATTTCCTTATTTCGGGCTTTTTTCGTGTGCAATGAGAGATTTTACTTCATCAAGTCTCCTTCCTAAAACCGAGGCTTCTTTTTCAAGATCTTGCAGCTTTTCAACAGGCCAAACGAGCTTCTTTAAGGAACTGAGATCTTTCGGTTTTTTGCAACTGCGATTGGATTCTTCTTTCTCTCTCTTCCAATCGATTTTTTATCATGTCAGAAGCAGCAAGCTTTGTATTTTCTAATTCATTAATAACTGTCCCTGCCTGTTCCGTTGCACCTACAGTTAATCTAGGATCGACACCAAGTGCAGTCATTTCACTCCATGATCTGGACATTCCAAGTAAAGCAGTGGCATATTTCCCGTCCTACTCAGTATCCATCGATTGATGAACGCCTCTTACAAACTGAGAATTATGCATACTCTCGTGTTTCACTTGGTGCGTTTATTAAATTGTCATTAAAAACGGCTCTAGATCAATGCTGTTGGGACGCAATATAATATCAGTGGAATCGCTTACAGGGTTGCAAAAAATGGTTACTCTTAAGCCATAGTTAGGATGGAGGAGCGAGTCCCTAAAACTTTGTTTTTCTTGATGGGTAAAACCTTTATCAGGAAAAAAGGAATTGAAAATTTCAAATGCTTCATCAAATGTCATGCTTGAACGCAATAATTGTCGGCCATTGGTTCCATCCGGAATCATGCATGTGAGGTGCTCGAAAACTCCAAGTAGGCCTTGCAACGTTCTGTATAATGGCGAATTCTGCTTTACTTTAACCAACTTCTCGTTAATGACTAAATAGTTCTCCTCAACTGTGCACGGCTGAAGTGACTGACGCAATGTGCATGCACCAACATCAATGCAAGACTCATTTCGTGTTGCTTTGCGAACGTCATGAGAGCCTGCAGTGTTAAACAAGTGAACATGAATTATAAATAATTAGGCAAAATGATTCCCAAATATATACTGTATACTACGGGTCCCGATTGAGTGGAAACACGCATGATTTGAACAAGTATATTTCACGCGGCATACGTGTACGTTTTACCATAGAAACGTCACAATTTGCCATTAATAGTAACACATGTGTTTTCACGTGATTTCGTTCTTGAAACGCCCAAGAAGTCAAAGTTCAACTGACATTTGGCTTTTTGCGGCGTTTCACGCACGAAATCACGTGAAACACTTGTGTTGCTATTATAAAGGGCAAAACATGCACGTTCATATGGCAAAATATACGCGTTCAAATCACGCATGTTTCTACTCAATCGGAAGTCGGTTTATATCGTATATAAAAGGGAGAGAGTATTGTACACATAGAAAATGCTCAAAATTCTCCAAAAGGGAAAAACAAACAGCTGACAACAGAGTACAGTTTATGTTGACAGTAACGCAAGTTTCAATATAATATTAAATATTAAAGATTTATATAAAGTTTTATAATATTTCACGACTCATTTTATAATAGTATTCACCTGCAGCTTTTCTCTTCGCCCCTCTATCTGTTACAGTAGGTCCCAGGTCCTCCTCACAATCTGCTTCGTCGTCACCATCATTTATATCAGCTGAATTCAGTAATCCAATTATGTTTCGGTTAAGAATTAAAATTTGTTGTATTTTAGTAAATATTTAAAGAACTGATTTGTGCAATGGCAGTTTGATGGATGTAATTCATTCCCAAAGTCAAAACACAAACAAACATGGCGAAAGAAGACGGAATTCATGTTTTACTTGAAAAGGCAGATCTTCAACAGTACTGTGACAGCTCCATCCTTCTTGGGGCAAAGAAAGTATCACATTTTGTCGACGTGGGCGTTTGAATCATGGCTAGATCAGAAATGAAGGACAGTATGGCGGCTGCTTTGTCAAAATATGCGCAGATCTAACAAATTTTAAGAATTCAAGATGGCGGAAATATAGAGCGTTAACAGTATAAACATATAAAATTGATGCGCATACAGAAAGAGTGTAAAATTTTCAAGTTGCCCACGTCTACAAATCTATAAAATACCTCAATAGTGTTGTCTTGCAAACTCTCGACGTCTCACGATTTGCTATTAGCCGGCCCGAATAACTCCATTTGCCGATATTTTCTGGTAATTTAAACTCCATTAAAACGATGAAATCCGAGTTTGGGTGCTATGTTCAGTCCGGTATAGTGTCGTTCAAGAAGAAGTCAGACAAAATGCCCACGTCTATATTTCCTATACGATGTTCAAACTGTCATTTTGCGTTGCTTTAGAAGCCCCTTATCTTGTATTCGTACGGCCAAATCGTTTTAAAATCGTCTGTTTTTTTTTAACAAACTGCAAGCTTGAATTCTCACAACCGTAGAGCTTGTAGTGAAGAACAGCTGCGAAATTTTCCAAAATTTCGATCGTACAACTGTGGCTTTTACGTCATTTTGTAAGCATTGATGCTAATAGCCGCTGGCCGATAAAAGGAGATACACGATGGCTCAAAATAGCGCGAAAATTGAAAATAATAGAGCGAAAATTGGAAAATTTTTACAATATTTTGCTATGGAAATCTTCCATTTACGAGACGTCCCTTGTGCTTAAAAGTCGACCGTACTCAAATTACGCTACAAATAATAAAAAGACATATTCAATATTCATAAAAGACTTAATAAAAGGCATAAAATGCAAAATATATTCACTCATGTGAACCAATTTTATCATTCCTTAGTCAGCGCAGTGTGTCGCGGGCGCACTGTTATTTCCCTAAATTCGACGCCCACGATGCGTGGCGCCGACTGTCCTTCATTTCTAGCCATGTCGTGTCTTCAACGAAAATGAGAATCAAAATAAACTTAATACCGCGACCTTTACACAGTCCAGCCAGGATGCTATAAACAATCTAGGAGAAACAAGTGTAAAACACCCAGCCCCGTCAGAAATCCACAGAAAAAAAGCAAAACAAGCAGGTGTGTATGTCTTGGAGAAGGAAAGATGTATACTTGAATCGATATTTTAATAGTATGTTTGAAATTTTGAATTTAAGTGGTATTTATGTCTCATTCTTCTTTCTCTATTTTAATATCGTGCTCGTATTTGATGGAGGTAAATTAAAGTCTTGTAAGCCTCTGGAATGGGAAAACGAGAGTAATCCTTGGGCTAAATATCTGTATCCATATCCAAAAACTGATAGAATGAAATTCCATAATAGTGTTGTACAGGATATCTACAAGTGATACAAGGCAGCAAAAGGCAGACCAGAATTTACAAGGTACCTCAGAGAGCAACAGACCTTTCGTTGGAACACTCAAAAAGAAATCACACAGTTGATTAAAACAGTTGTTTATCATGAAAGTTCTGCAAGTGGTGTGCCTAAGTACTGTAAAGTGAGTAAAGGGAATGCAGAAAGTGTGAAAAGATTGTTTGTGCTTCATTGTTAAAGAATGCTGAGAAAACTGAAAGTGATGCACTCCGCACCTGAAAGCTCCGCACCAGATTACTTCAAAAGAGAGAAAAACTTTTGGATGTTAATTGTGAATCTGAAATAAAGAAAGGTTGTGAAGAAGAAAACTGCAATTTGTCAAAAACAATTGTTGACTCGCAAGCACCGTTAAAATAATTGATACAAGTTGTAAATGATTTGCGAAACTCATACCTGCACTTATCGAGGTCCAAAATAGATTCAGAATCAACGGTTCACGAAAATGCCAGGCGAAAAAGAAGGAGGAAAGAAAATAATAGGAAATCAAAAAAGCAGTCTGAGAACAGGTTGAAGAAGTGATGTGAGGAGGTTCTACAGAAGCTTGTTGGAGAGGAGAGTGCAACTAAACTGCTATCAGATGTTTTCAAAAGCAACCAAATTCCAACAAGAATTTGTGGTGAAAGTGAATTAAAAATTCAAGTGTTATATATACACTTAAACCTAAGTTTCATTTAAAGGCTTTAAAGTACCTCGTTAGCAGGAATATTTTGGGGGGAGAAGCCCTTGAGCATGTAGAGTGTACTATCCAAAGGCTCAGTAGTCTACTGAGAAAGTCAAGAGATGAGTGTAGTGCCGAAAGCGATATAGAAAGTGAGAAAGAATTAATACCTGTAGGTATAGTTTCTGATGATGATGACAGCGATGGTGAGGTACCAGGAACTGCATAATCATCATAATTTTAAACTGTTCATTTGAATGCCAATGTACTTTATAATTTTATATTAACAGACATTGTAATATTAAATATACTTGTCATTGAAAACTGCGAAATATGGAGATTGGAATTCTGAAGAAACAAATATATGAAAATGCCCCACTAGCCTTAATAGCCTACATGAGAAAGCAGTATAATTATTAAAACAACTTCATTTGTACTTGCTATACTGCACAATGTTAACAACTTGAAAATGACCTAAACCCCACCCAATGGGGCTCATATGAAAGTCTAAAACCCATTATTCACCTCTCCACCCATGTCCCATACCTCCAGGTGAGAGGAGTGGGGTTTCCAGACAAGTGCATATTTATTTGTTATTTGTACACCAAGTAATTCTATGCTTATTAAAAGTGATTGATATTAACCAGCGTCTATTAAAAATATAAAGCATATCATATTCAGCATTGTTTTGTACTAAATACCTGTAATACCAGACACATTTCATTGTGTTTATTACCCATAATATTTTGTAGCATGGTTTAAAATAAATCAACATAAAAAATACAATATAAATATAAATACAAATACAAATTTCTAGATCCCCCCTAGTTTCTCTTCAAGAAAACCTCTACAGTCCCTGAACCCAAAGAATGTGACTGCAGGAAATCTAACGTGTGTCCACTGAATGAAAAGTGTTTGACCAGCAACGTAGTTTATAAGGCAGAAATAACAACGCCCCATGATGGAACGCCCAAAAATACATTGGAATGACTTCCACGGAGTTCAAGGTTAGATACAGAAATCACAAATAGTCGTTTAATAAGCCTGCGTACTCGTCTGACACAGAACTTTCCAAATACGTATGGAATTTGAAGGACAAGAAAAGGGAATACAGTATTAAGTGGTCCATTTTGAAACGAGCAGCAGCGTATGTACCTGGCGGTAGGGGTTGTAATTTGTGCATAGAAGAGAAATTAGAAATCATGAAATCACATAAAACCAATCTATTGAACAAAAGATCCGAGTTCTTCGCGAAATGTCGCCATCGAGAAAAATTCAGCGCCGGGAAATTCGAACGCGCGCGAACAAACAAGTTAACGCGTCAGCGAACGGTTGATGATGATGCAATCACGTAATCATTAACAAAATCGTGAACAAAATCGCCTGATGATCGTCTAGAAAGGACGTGAAACTCAGAGTAGCGATATTTAGGCTAATT